AGTCTGATTTAATCTTTACATATTCTGTTGCAAAAACAAATATAAACATGTACATGCATCTTATGACAGTTACAACCAAAAAAAAAAAAAACATTATTTCTGGCAAAGGGATAATCTCAGCGTTTCTATGGTAAAGAAATTAGGAACAATGGAATTGTGCAAAAAGGTACATCTCCCCCTTATCAGTACAAATCTGCAAAGGGAGGTAATCACTGTGAGGAGTTTGTCGCTTTATCTAACTCGCTTGTCTCCCTTGCATTAAATAAATAAAATGGATTCCTGTTGCTCATCTTTATAAGGCACCACACATATATAATAATTGAAATAAAATGAAAGGAAATAGGAAATTTTACCTCTTATACTAGTTTGAAAATGTAAAACTGATAAACTTTGAATCGAATACATTTTTGGATTACATTTGACTAAAATATGTGGGACTATTTCTTAAACATGTAAGCCTTAGCACATTGCGCGCGGTATGAACTCGAAAAGTTTTTGACATGTTATTGCTTCATAAAGAAATGCTTATTTGTTAAGATTATAATCATGATATAAATAGAATGCCAAACAAGTGTGTAATATCATAAAATTTATCATTCTCGGCATGAAAAATGAAGAGCACGACAGAGCCTCGTCCTTCTTTTTTTCTTAGCATTACCTGAAATGTTTTTTTTGTAATATCAGACACAAGCATGGTATTCTATGTTTATATAACATGTTTAGAAACGGAATATTTCAGACATATTTTAAATCACTATTCATGTACAACCGAGACATACTTTATTTTTACACAGATTATTACTCATTTTAAATAAAAAGTCACGTGGTTAGATTTACTTTCAATCAGTATTATTTCCGAGATGATTTTGAATAATCGGTGATGTGTTCAGATTGACAGGTACTTGGCAACACCTCGGCTGTCCGAAAAATAATTGAAAGGGCAGGAAATTTACATTTAGTAATGTCATCCTTATTCATAAACTGATTAAAACTTCCAACCTTTACGGGTCTCATTTAGTCGTATCTTCTCGGCTCTTTCCGTCACGGATATAAGGACAATAAATAAGTCGAGTTGTTCCGATTGGGTCCCATTGTGATAATGCTGAGATATAAATGATTTTTAGCAGAAGATATAATTTCATAGAAGAATAGAGAAAACACCAAAAAAAACCCCAAAAAAACAGGGTCGACTTTTGTCAACTAATAATGAAAGTGCCTTACATTCATGAAATTGTTAAATATTTTTCTGTTGTCTTGCAAATTTACATAAATCTGTGATTTATAAAACGCCTTGTTTTTTGAAAGATTATGTATCTAGAGTAGAATATTTCGGCATCAAAATAATGGGAGCTAATTTCTTAAAGAGAGCATATGTTCATTTCGCGGTTGCACTTCCTATTCTAGTTTTATTTTTCATTGTAGTATACATAGAGGATATTGCGCAATACTGTAATTGAGCCGCGTCATGACTAAACCAACATAATGGGTTTGCGACCAGCATGGATCCAGACCAGCTTGCGCATTCGCGCAGTCTGATCAGGATCCATGCTGTTCGCTATCGGTTTCTCTACTTGTTATACGGTTTGTAAGCGAACAGCATGGATTCTGATCAGACTGCGCGGATGCGCAGGCTGGTCTGGATCCATGTTGGTCGCAAACCCATTATGTTGGTCTTGTCATGACGCGGCTCTATTGAACGAGTTGAATAAAATTACATCGTTTGTTATGCAAGCCACTAGCGAGTATAATATTTTATTTGAAACGAGTTCAATGAATTATGTCATGAAGCTACACGAATGTAATTTATTCTGTTTAATGCATATAAAAAATAAGAGCTAATAAAGTTTAGTATAACACAAATTAAGCGCGTCTTTAAAGTTCATTGAGTTAGACAAATGCCCCAGTTGTGCAAAAAAGTTAAAAAATATTTTGACCGTTTACAGGGGCGGTTCAAGCAGGGGTATAATGTCTGACACTTGGGTCTTTCAAATAGAACCAAGTGTCTGTGACTTTAACTGTAGGAACCAACTCATAAACAGTATACATAATTATCATTATCTGTTGTAGTTTCTTTTAACAGGGTCTTTCAAATATTATGCATTGATATTTAGAGGATTGACCGCAAAACTGTTGTAAGTCCTTCTTCTTTTCATACAAGTTACTGCAAATTTTCGCCCCCCCCCCCCTGATATAACCATTGTTTCGACTGTTGTCTCCTCAGCATAGGAACTGTGCGACGTTTCACCGAAACTTGAGTATAAAGTATAAAGGTAAGTTTTGTTGGGATGGTGCTAGTTGTGGGTTGGGTATCGGATTGGACGGACGGACGGACGGATGAAACAATGAAATAAATAAATAAATAAATAAATAAATAAATAAATATGTAAACAAATAAATAAATAAATAAATAAATAAATAAATAAATAAATAAATAAATAAATAAATAAATAAATAAATAAATAAATAAATAAATAAATAAATAAATAAAATAAATAAATAAATAAGATAAACTTCTAGGAATCAAAAGAATAATAATGAGGAAAAATAAAAAATAGTTTTGAGTCATTCTTTAGATCGCAATATTCTAAACAAAGAAGAAAGAAATGTAGTTTAATTTAATTTGAATTAAAACATTTAACATACCTTTAACAGATCCTGTAGACCTAATTTCAGTGCTCATTTTATTAAAATATCTAAATGTGTTATTGTTTTTAAATCTTATGCTCTCCTCTGCTTATAGCGGTTGTTGTCAATATGCGTTTGTGTAACTTACTGAAAACCATAGAAATGACGTATTTTTACGCGATATTGGTGACGTCATTGACGTTGTTATCATAAGGGAGGCAATAATGTGACTACGTGTATTTATTTTTTGACGGAGTTGATCCCCTTTACTTTCCTGCGCTCTTCTATACTCTCTTGCGCATCGGTCGAATGTTTCGTTGTCGCCCAGTTTATTCACTGACTGCGAAGGGAGTGTAGCGCTCTCCTAAAATGCTTGAACTTATTTGATTGTCAAAAAAGTACATAATTATAGATATTGTTATAAAAAAATCTATTTGGAAAAGGTGTTCACACACACGTTTTCGACTCATATGATTATCTTTTACTTACAAAACTTACTCCTTTCTGAAAATGAAATACTTAAAACTCAGGGAATACTGATCATAAATGAAAAAAAGTTTTTTTTTTATTCTGTTGTTTTCACGCTGATTTTTAGATTTGTTTATGTATATCTCGGAGGTCCACCTTAGTCCTATCCTTACTAATTAACCTGTTATAACCATTTTCAAGGCGTCCATGGCCGAGTGGTTAAGGTCGTGGACTTCAAACCACTTGCCCCTCACCGCTGTGGGTTCGAATCCCGACAGGGATTCTTTCATGTCAGGAAGCTATCGAGCTAGCTTACCGAACGTCGGTGGTTCTACTCCGTGCCTGAAAAAATGCACGGAATGGCACCTGAGACTTTCTCCACCAGTAAAGCTGGAACGTCGCGATATGACCTATACTGTGTTGATGTGACGTAAAACCCAAAACAAACAAAATAACCGTTTTCAATCTTTCTTCTTGTATTAAAAGTTAATTATGATCAATTAAGTATTAATCATTATTGGTAATCTATGTATATGTATATTCTACATGCTAAAAACATTGTTAACTGTTTAATGCTCAATAAACTATTATTATATTGTAAATTTTTCTCCGCAAGTGACCGACTCCTACGTGACTACTATAATCCCACGTGACTACTACTCCCACGTGACTCCTACTCCCACGTGACTACTTATCCCACGTGAATGAGAAATAATTAATGTCCGAGATCCATAGGCTAGTCACGGAGATTCAATTCCGTCACGCAAACGACGTCTGGATTACGTATCCGATGGTCTTACTATGGAGTAAAGTGTACAAAAAGGGGAAAATTTAAATACCAATTAAAACAAAGGAGCAGAAATAATTACAAACAAAAAAGAAACAATAGAAAATACATGTAGAACCGGTGCGCTATGTGTATATTATATTTAGGTGTGTTTTTCTAGAAACTTATATATAGCGAAGGGATTTTTTTTATATGTTAACTTTGTATACATTAACATTTAAAACCTGATCGAATGTTACTATATAATTATAACCTGGCATGTACCTGCTATAACCTGACAGGCCATTCAATAATTTATATTATTATATGATCTAAAAATAGCTGCAATCTCATTGGTCCAAACTGTAGTCAACAGAACTTTTTATAAAATCATATTCACTGGGGGTAGTATCATATTAACTGGCTAAATTGGATTTTCCAAGTATAAAAATAGATTGAGACTCATATTCAATGACCATTCACCGTAGACTGTTAATTACGTGTGCTAATTAAAAAATAATTGTTGCGTTTTGTTTCTTTATGGCATATTTCTCGATTAAAATATCATAACTTTACTGTTATACTTAAAGGCTACACCACAATGATGAGTATAAACTTGAATTACTTTCGTATGCGCAGCGTTCACGTAGTCGTTGCACGCCTAACACGTGCGTCTTTTTTCCCGCGCTTCAACGAGGCAAAATTTGTACATGTATATAAGGTTGTACTTTTTCGTGATTTTTTTTTTAATTCTGAGCCTTTTCATATAATAAAACAATTATTGACTAGTGAGCCATTGAATATGATGTGATATTCACCGGCAGAAAGTCATATTGACCTCGGCTATCGCCTCGGTCAATATGTCATCTGCCGGTGAATATCACATCATATTCAATGGCTCACTAGTCAATAATTGTATAAAATATATAGGCCTACAAAGTCAATAACTGTACATGTATATCTAAGAAATTATCAGTGATATGCTTGTAATTGTCGTCGCTATGGTTTCAAACTTGATTTTTTTACCAACACTTAAGCTGAATTTACCAAGTTTAAATACATATGATAACTAAATATAATTTCAACGTTTTGACTGGGTGCCGGATAGGTTACACTTTTTTTCAAAAGTTGTCGCCCTTTTATTTTAACACATGTTGATCTGGGCGCGAGCAAATTTCCGAATTTTCCATAAAATGGTAAACTTTAAGTCCTAATCAGCTCTCATTTTGTATTTATAAATGTGTTAAATAATTTGCTGTATTTACTGGAAGTAAAATTATTTTAATGGACAAAGAACTGTTTTGCTGTAAATTAGTTAATGAGAAATTTCGGACCTCGTACATTTTGGATCTATTGTGATGCAACGATTCGCCCCACTGATGATTCGCCCCATAATGACTCACTCCACTTTACTGAGGATTCGTCCCATTTAAGTGACGATTTGCCTGTCCTTATATTAAACATTTTTAAAAAATTCAATTGGATTAAAAAATATTTATGGTTTGGGTATTTTTGCATTATTTTGTATAATTTTAAGACTTAGAGATGTACTTGATTTAGTGATAAAATTAGGAAATTAGAATTTTAACAGAACTAAAAATTACTAATCTGATTGTATATTTATTTTTTAGATATATAAATATTAAATTAGATTAATGTCATTACAGGGGTTTACTTAAGGTTTTGACTTTCACTTGCCCGAAGGGCAAGTAACTTTGAAAATCTACTTGCCCCCAAGAAAAACAGGTTGCCCGATCTTAAATGTGAAGATTGTTAATAATCAAAGCAAAAATTATGGGTAAAAATAAGATTTATTGCAGATCCTATCAACTTATGCCTCAGATAGTAAAATAGTCCTAAATTCCCTACTGTATATGTTTTTTTGCTTGTCAACACAACTGTCTTTGCTCGGGATCCAATAGAAATCCCTGAGATTAAATTTAGAAAAACTCCTAAATGTCAGGGATTCCTCACATCAAAATAGTAAAATGAAAATGAAGATTAACAATAGTCGTGATCTGTTAAGGCTTATAAAAATTACAGGTAATAATTAGGCCCTATTCCAGGTGACTTTTAAAATATATTAACATTCAGATGCTATCACCTTAAAAATATTTATTCCCTATTACAACTTTAAAAAGGAAACAGTACATTGATTGTTGAAAATTGTGATAGGATTTAAATGTTTATTGTTGATTTCAAACAATGTAAAATATCAAAAATATGTTTGCTTTGTTTGCATTACCAAACTAGCTATGTACCTTTCAAATTTATTTCATTTTTAAAAACAACAAGTTGCTCCAAGTCCATGACAGGATGTGTTATACTCAATTTAAATTGATCTGTCTGATTCCTATCCTCCCTGTGTGTATTGAAATTTATTTGAAGTTTTAACCTATGTCACATCAAAGGGACTCACCGCATGCAGTAATCATACAGTTCAGAGCACTGACTGGTTCAAAGAACTGTCAGACGAAATATACGTCATTTGCTGTATGTTTCACCTAAGGAGGTTTTTTTCTGTTTTGGTCGTAAATTAGGCATGACCTAGATTGACCTCAGATGACTTATAGTTACCAAAAAGGATTTTAAACATTATATGGATTATTTTATTCTGTTTATTAATAGATCTAGAATATTTGTAAACATTGCTGTAGGGGAGAAAGGAAAATAAATTAACAACAGTTCAAGACTATTATGATTTTTCGTCAAGATTTGTGTAAAAAAGATTACTGGTGACGAATTTTAAAAAATTCTATAGGCCTATTGCAAATGAGTTGACGACGCCAGTTAGTTAAAGAATGACCGTACGAATAAAAAAAATAGCGTACAGGATTCAAAGGAGTAGATTTTTACGGCCTGATTTTTCTGTTCTTTCTTGAACCTTGCAGATGTGTCAGTCTTTATTGACATTTAACTCATCTTGAATTTTTGTGATTTTATGCTATTTATTCAGAAAATCAGATGTTTTCTTTGCTGTGGCTTTTTCTTTAATTGCTGTAGACTTTTTTCTTTTAAAAATGGGAAAACTTTCGGCGCCGCCCGCCATTTTGAAAATAAAGCCAAATGAAAAAAGTTTTTTTACGTTATTTGATTGGTTGATAGGAGTCCAACTACAATCAGAAACAGTTAAAAATACACTTGTTTGACTGTAATATGAACGGAAAGAAAAGTATTATCGGCAAAAGATATCAAAGCTAATAGAAGGCATAATGAAAATTCACTTGCCCGCCGGGCAATTTGCTTTCAAATTTCACTTGCCCGCAGCGATTTCTACCTGACGCGGGCAAGCGGGCGTCCGCTTAAATAAACCCCTGCATTAATAAGTGATTATTGTCAGCGATCTTTCTCCTAAAATTGTGAATGGGTCTCATACCATGACAAATGTGAATTTTTTTTTATCCAAATTGTGATTTTTTTTCATAAAAAAAGAAAATTCATCAAAATGACTCTTTTTCAGATATTTCACAAAGAATTTCCCACACTTCGAGGACATTTTTCGTCTGTTTCACCATTACCGGATGTTTACCCCGTATTTATATCAGATTTCAGGGTGTTTTTTTTACTAACAAATTGACACCGATAGTCGGCGTCATCCCCTCGGTAAATAGCCAAGATTTTTCTCCCAAAATTCTATTTTCCCATTAAACTGTTAAGGGATTAAATACTTAAAAGGTAAAAAATATCAAGCTTTTCCATCTCAGGAAATGAAATCAACCAATTGTTGCACAAAATATCCAAAAAAATTGCAGAAATCTTCAAGTACTAGTGTGTGAACATGGGGGCTGCCATTTTTTTTTCTTGGCTATTTTCCGTACTGAACGGTACTATTTCCGGAAATCAAATGCTATCAAAAATTAAATATCATCATTTTCTTGGTTAATTTTTTACTAAAGTAAGAAAGTATAAAATCATTCATCACCACACATATTAAGATGTTGTACTGCAAATAATAATACTTTGCATGATGATAAAGTATTTAAGGAAAAACAGATGTTGTTTAGACTCTCTACTATGTATAGTAGTTTAGTATACAGTATGTATAACAGGGTTTTCTGTTTACATTTTAATTTTCCCTAAATTGACTTTTTGCGAATATTTTTTCCCCCTCCCTATCAGCGTCCAGCGTCTTCCCCTTTTCCTAAAAAAACCCCCTGGATTTGTTTGCAATGTTCAACTTTATCAGAAAATGTTCTAAAAATTTTGACCAGTTCGCTGAAAAATGTGTTACATTATTTATAACGGTACGACTGAAAGACTAATCTAAATTCATTGTGCTTTATAAAAACCTTTGTTCACAAAGTTTAAATTATTAAAAAATACTGCTGCAAAATTCCCATTAATTTTGGTTTTATCTAACATGTCTAATTGAAAATCCCTGGTTTAACATACTTTTATGCCGTTTCGGACATTTACTGGATTAAACTGTAATGAAAAAAATCTGAATCAAATTGGTAGCAAAGCATTTTTCGCAAACTCCTCAGTGATTACCTTCCTTGGCAGAATTTTAATCAGTACTTTCACACACGTCACTTGATGATGAAATTCACATGACGTAACATCAAAATTCAAATGTAAATATCAACCTTTACATTGAAAATCTAACATCATTTTTCTCTTTCTGTTTTATTTTTAACTTTTCGTACCTGTGTTCGTTTTATTTATCAAAAAATCAAAAGTATACAAAATAATGAAAAATAAATTCAAAAGCTAAAAAATATAAAATAAAAAAATATTTTTAAAAATGTACGTGGTGGCAGACTGGTCTCTATACTGATAAGGAGAGATCACTGCATAGGAGATTGCAACCTTTAGTTTGAATATCGGCAGTAAGGTGAAGTAACAATACATCAAAGCAAAGACAAATTGAGATTTTAATCACTTATATTAGAAAAAAATCAGGAAAAAGACAAAATTTTAAGCTGAATTTATGTAGATTGTGAATTTTTACAGAATTGTGAATGGGTCTGTTGCCGACCCATTCTAAAAATTGTGAAAGACCATTGGTGATTCAGATTGTGAATGGGTCCGTTATTCGGTACAGCTAATATTAGGAAGAAAATCGCCGATTGTTTAATTTACACATAATTATTTGTTACGTAAAGCAAATTGTTGACAAATTTCTAGTTATTCTATGTATGCAAATCATGGCCACTCGGGCAAATCGGTATCAGTTATAAAATTAGTACTCCCACCCCCCTTCACATAATTTTATATTGTGGGATGTAAAATATCATTAGCTTATCAGACAGCCTACCTGTTACATTGGAGCGGGAATCAATTGACCGCTTAAATACTGAGAAATAAATTTTGTTTGTGTTTGACACGTTTTCGCATATTTGTCTCCGGACTAATCCTCATGAACTACTGGTGCAATTTCATCCAAACTTAACAGGAATGATCAGTACCAACTACCAAGTCTAGTTGTGCTTTTCGTCAGCATTTGCCAGTTCATTGATTTTTGTCCGAATTATGGCCTTTTAATAATTTTAATTTTTAAAGTTTGTCTGGACTACTCCTCTTATGCCACTTATGCTATTTCAATGAAACTTTACAGGATTGATCTGTTGCTCAAATCCTTGCACATATTGCATACGATATCCGGTTGAATGATTTTTGGCCAAGTTATGGCACTATAATAGCACCGCTAGGCAGAGAATTATATGCCTGAAAGTACTTTTTATGCCCCCGGGCATATAGTAATTGAACAGTCCCTTCGTCTGTCTGTGCGTCCGAGCAAACATTTTGGGTTTAGGTGCTATATAACAGTAAAGAGAACAAAAGAGAACAATAGGTTCATTCCATGATCAAAGGGTTTATGGGCTAGTAGCCCTTAAGAAAACAAAGAAAATAACAAAGAAAATAGCCCCTAAACCCAAAATGTTGGAACGTCCTTCTGTCCGTAGGAGGTTAACCTAGAACGGCAAGTTGCATTTTTCATAAGTTCTACCTGAACCAATGGCTTCATAATTTACACACTTACTAATCCATACAAAGTATATGATCTGGGCAAGTTACATAACTATGGCTTCCATTTGCACCAAGTTATGGCCCTTTTCAGCACTTAAAAAATGAATAATGGTTAACCTAAACCGGCAAGTTGGAAATATCTTATGTTCTATCTGAACTAATGGCTTAATAATTTTTACACTTACTTATCAATACAATGTACATGATATTGCCAAGTTATATAAAT